CGCATCCCTGGAACCCCACAGCTGTGTATAGCGAGCTGGCAAGCAATATCTATCATACTGAACTCATATATGAACTAACAAAGGTTAAGGAAATAAGCTCTCTGAGTTTTTTCTCTCTCTCTGAAAATTGTTCTCCCTCAACCCCAGTAGAGCAGGCAGTGCGGCCTTTAGGGCTGGGAGGAGAGACGACGTAGCCTGGTGCAATAGCTCTTGCATCAAGGCACAAGCCAGCCTCTCCTATAACCATACCAATGTTCACTCAATAGAGAATTCTTAATGCTTTCACCAATGGTATATTCAAAGTACATCAATAAGAATTCACAATAAGAATTCACAGACACTTTCACTATTCACACAACCCTCACACATTTCACAACGAGCACGGCATTGTTGCCGTGATTGTAGGGAGTATTCACTACAGAATCGGCAAAAGTTACGCGTAAAATGTGAACTGAGGGAATGGCTCATAATATCATGGTAACTGACTTCTACACCACGACAAAGTCCTAGGCATGCATTGGGTGACCCGCATTGGGGGAATATCTGCGTCCCCTTGACGAGAATGCTTTGGCTGATATGACAGGACGTAATGAGATCGTGCACCTCTTAGCGCATCCACGGGTACTTGGATCCTCTGCGGTAAGAGGAAGGACTATCCCACCGAAAGAGGAGCGATGATACTCCTACGCAGCGCATAGGCGATGCAGGTGCTGGCAGGCTATGTATAGCGAGAGTGCTCGATCTTACCCGAGGATAGCAGCGATCTGCAATAGAGTCAAACTCCCTAAGGTAAGAGTTTCCAAAAAGCAGATGACATCGTCTTCTGCCCTCACGCGGCCTGGAAAGGATGGAGCAAGGCTCTATGGTGGCGGGAGGAGAAGAGGCGACCTGACAGGAGTAACAACTCACCCCGCTGTAACTCGTGCATCATTGCAATCCGTCATGCATACACAGGTAAGCCCTTTGCTGCATGCACTAACAGTATCTAACAGTATCAACGGTAGTTGAACATTTGCTTGGCGGCCGTCAGCAGCCAGCCTGCACGCACGTTGAAACACAAGGACGAACTTCGCACAGGCAATTTTGCGTTATTAATGCTGGCATTCTAAAATGCGTTAAGGAATAACCGGAATTCACGGCGTGAGAGAGGAAATGGGCGAGGAAGAATTACTGTACAGCTTGCAGTTGCCAGGTCGAACAATGTTAAATGCAGGATGCTGGCGGCTAGACTGCGTTGCTGAGAGTCACCTGCGCATACTGACCCCGCAGAAATCTGTGTAGGTCCTCCTCTGCTTCACAGCAGCGACTCAAAGCGTGAGATTGGGCAGCGCAGCTCCGAAATGGACCTCCCAACACAAGCAGAGATATGAGCAACTTCCTCCTCGTGACAGAACAATTGAAGCTTAATCATGGAAGGTTTCATTTGCTACCTCATTCTCTTTTGTGACATGTTGGGTCAGGGCCGCACACTTTGGGGCCCAGTAACTGCTCACGCGTTCACGGCAGTTGCGTAGTGACACCGGATCAGTGCATATTCATAACTAGGTTGGGATGCCAACTTCAAAAGGCGGCTTCCAACCGAACTATGCTGCCTGGAGTGCAGCAGATGATTTGCGGAAAAGCCACTGAGACACTTCGCCACGACTATCAACACCGTGGGAGCAACAGCACATCACAGCGGCAATCCTTGTGTTGATTGTATCTTTCCCTTTTCAGGTTTCGTCATCTTCCATTACTACGCTTGACGGGGCCGGC